TGTCCGCCCCCGCTCTGCTGCTGCTCGCGGGCGCGGACCCCAACCGCGACGTGATCAACCCGCTGCTCGTGGCCATCCGCCACGGCTGCCTGCGCACCATGCAGCTGACGCCGGGCCACGCCGCCGACAAGGCACCCGGCGTGGTGCAGGTGAGTGCGCGGCTGGTGCCGCAGGGCCAATGTTTAGGGCTCCGGGGGCAGTGGGGGTTAGTGGTTAACACGCTTTGGAGGGCGCATAGACTCTCAGTTAACACACTTCGGAGGCTGCAGAGTGGAGTGGTTCGCGTGAACAGACACATATTCTGGCCAGCCGTATTGGGGGAATTTAAAGACCCAACAGTGAAGCAGGGGATTGGCCAGGAATTCTGCAAAACCGAGGAGTTCCTCACTTCCGGGAAACCTACTGCTGGAATGTGGTGCTGTAAGCAGGACCCAGGAGGGGCCCAGAGCAGGCCGGCCGAGGGATGCTTGAGGAGCAGACCCGGTGGCAGCCGTGTGCCTATTGTTGCTTTACATCGTACAACTTAAAACGAAAAGGAAGAAACACCTTCTCTGGGAGATAATTATAATAGCTAGTGCCATCACTGACAGGCTACCTACTGCGTGTGAGGGAATTCATGTTCATAGTACCTTGACTCTCGTTCTAAAAGTCTCCTTGGATGGGGCCAGCAGGTGGCATAGTGGTTAAGGTGCTGGACTCCCACATGGCCAGCCGGTTGGAGCCCTAAATCAGCAGCTTGGAGCTCACTCCTGGTATGTGTGCATGCACCTGAAGTCCCAGGAGGAGAATGGAGGAGAAGGGATTGTAGCGTGGCCATCTCCCTCTCTGTCTCTCTCCAAAGAGCACACATGCACTATGGGGGGAAAGTCCCCTTGGAGTTGCTGACATATACCCATCTCATAGCTGAGGAGGTTGAGGGTCAGGGGTGACTGACTTGCCCTCATTACATTTTTGGCATCCCATAAGGGGTTGTCTTTGTAAAGAGGTGGATGCTGGCCTGGGTGTGCCCAGTGTCTGTCTTCAGGCACATCCTGCCCTCCCTGGTCTCCATCCAGCCTCTAGGATGGGGTGTCTGGGCAATGCCCTTGTCCTGGCGCCCCAGCTCTGGCTGTGCCCGCTTGCAGTTTTGTGAGATCCTGTCTGCGCCGGAGGTGAGCCGCTGGGCGGGGCCTATCATCGACGTCCTCCTGGACTACGTGGGCAACGTGCAGCTCTGCGCGCGGCTCAAGGAGCACATCGACAGCTACGCCGACTGGGCGGTCATCAAGGAGAAGGCAGGTAGGCGCTGTGGCCGCTGGACTCGGGTCCAGGTCTGGGTCCGGGCCTCAGGGAGCGTGGCTGGCCCCGACTGGTGGCAGGCTCTGAGCTGTGTGTGTCACGTATGGTGTGTCTGTGACTCCCTGGACTAACAGTGAGCAAACCAACTCGTGCAGGGCTATCACCTGGGTCAGGGTCACACAGCTCGCCAGTGGCAGAGCTGGGACTTCGATCTTGGTTTGACCAACCCAAGACCCCCTGCTAAATCTTTCCACCATATCATAGACAGTTCCAGCTCTCTGAGGGACTCAGGACCTTTGGAAAATGTTGCCCACGTGTTTGGGTCACTGAGAAGCAGAGTGGCAGGAGAGATGAGAGAGACTTGGCCCAGGGCATCTCAAACTTCTCAGGGATCATGAAGCCCCCATGTGCCTTGCTAAAATGCAGCTCTGGGGCTGGCAGATGGTGTGGTGGTTAAGGAAGCTGGACTCCCACATGGCCGACTGTGGTTTGAGTCCCAGACCTGGTGACTTGCTTTCTCACTTTCCCTCTCTCTCTCCCTTGCTCTGTCCCTCTCTGGCCAAATTAAAATAAATAAATAAATAAATTTAAATAAAATAATTCTTTTAAAAAAATTAAATGCAGCTCCGGATTCAGCAGGCCTGGGGCAGGGCCTGAGTCCACTTCATCAGGCCTCCAGGTGGCGCTAGTGCTGCTGCCCACAGATAACCATGGCAGGGGCACTGATGCAGGAGCCAGACCCTGAGCTCTGGAGCCTCTTTGGCCAGATAGACCCCGGCTGACCATGGACAGAGCCCTCCCCATCCCAGCAGAGGAGGCTGGGAGGGCTCTTGGCCCAGCCCCTGCCAGCTCCACCAGCCTGAGTGTAGGCAGGTGTCTTGCCTGGCACTGTGAAGTGGACTCCACCCCTGTCTGATTATGTCAGTGTAGCCAGGCAGCCTGGCTGGTCAGATGGAGGGGCTCGAGTCCCTTTAGGCATTTTAGAGCTCTCCTGGGCAGGTGAGGTGTCACCGGGCATGTGAGGTCTCACCTGGGCAGGTAAAGTGTTGAGAGCAGGTGCAGACGTGGGCTTTCTCTGTCTCTGAAGGCCACATCCTGTTTGTGGCCGTGTTGGTCAACTAAGTAGTGCAGTTGACCTGCAGGGGGGATTGCTATTCTGCCGCTCCGGTCCCGGGTCACACTGCTGCCTCCTTGCCTATCTGCTATCCGGCCGCACCCCCCCAGTGCCCTGGCTCTTACTCCCTTGTCCTCATGTCCTTCTAAAACCAAGCCTCCTGTAGGAGTCTTCATTTGCACAGAGACCTGGGGAGCAACAGAACTGGGGCCTTTAATAGCAGTGACAGGGAGGGTGGCTTTGACTCGCGGTGTGCAATGATGGCTAACTGGTTGCTGTCACTGCCTCCTTGCTCCACTAGAGGGTGGAGCGGCCATGCCTAGATGGTGCCCATTCTGTGCCCTCCCCGCCTTCCCTCGAGAAAGTCCCACAGCCAGAGCGTGTCTAGGAGGCGTGCAGAGCGTGTTAGTATGCTGTGGATCTTGGTTGACAGGTGGGATGGGTAGTTCTAACCAAGACCTATCCGGCTCCTGTGAAGCCCACTCTTCATCTGCAAAACACTCTGTGCTTTCTCATTCACCGTTGCGATGCTGACATTCTAGGAAGGAGGGTGGATGGAGGACCAGAGAGTGAGCACACTGAGCCCAGAGCCCGTCAACCCACCAGCCCCGCCCGCGTGGCCCTGTGTCCTCTGCCCAAGGGGGCCTTGTTCTTTCCTCCCTGTGAGACAGGCGCCAAGCTTCCCAGGGCAGGGCTGTGTCCTGAGTGAGATGAGAGGGCAGTGGGAGGGTCAGAAATACAATGATGGGCACATGGACGCCCACCATGGCAACGCCCAGCTGCCTGGCCCCTACCCCCTGCCCACCCACCCTTCCCATGCTCACTCTGCCTCCCTTGGCTGGGCACTTGCTGTTTCCTGCCTGGAATGTTCTTGCCTCCCTCTTTACCTACAGGTTCTTCCCACCCGCCCCCCAGGGCCCACTTGGCCCTGTCTGGAGTGGAGGCCTTCCCCAGAGCCCCCGGGCAGGGCCTCTGCATCTCTGACCCAGCCACAGGACCAGACATAGCAAAGGGCTCAACATGTGCTTGTTGAATGACTGACTGACTGAATGAATGAACGAATGGATAGGTGACATCGTCTGACTCAGCGCTTTCCCTGTGCCCAGGGCTGAAATAACATATCCCATCACTGGTGGCATCTTCCCCACCCAACCCAGCACATGAGGCATCCCAAGAGGCCTCCTGGGGGAGGCAGCCAAGAGGGCTTCTGGAGACCCGCAGGGAGCTACCCAGGCCCTGGCCCCTCACCCTGTCCTCCCAACACCACCAGAAGCTCGGAGCTGAATCCCACGTGTGAGGGTTTGATGAGGTCAGACCCTGACCCTGTTGCTCAGGCCACATGTGGACTCTGGGTTGTGAGTGAGGAGGAAGGTGCACACAGAGAGGCAGACGCTGGCTCCGGAAGTGGCCCTGGGCAAGACCTGCAGCCTCGGTTTCCTCACCTGTGAAACAGGTGTGGTACCTGCCCTGTCAACCTCCTTGAGGGGCCACAAGTGGGACGGTCCTTCAGTTGGCAGGGACTGGGTTACAGTGCCAGGCACTCCCCTCACCCAGCCGCAGCAGCTGGGGGCTTCCCGCAGGCGGAGGCGGCATGTGCAGCCCCTTTGCCGCAAATGACAAATGAACGTCTCTCTTCCCTTCTTTCTCCAGAACCGCCGAGACCTCTGGCTCACCTCTGCCGGCTGCGGGTCCGCAAGGCCATTGGGAAGTGTCGGATAAAACTCCTAGACACACTGCCACTCCCGGGCAGGCTGATTAGGTACCTGAAATACGAGAACACCCAGTAGCCAGGGCAGGCGGAAGGAGCGCCCCTCAGACTGTTTTCACTAAGGGTCAAGATGGTGGCGTCCCCAGATCCAAGGGGACTGGTGACGGATGAGGCTGCAGGCTGGCAGCTGCCTGATCCTGCTGAGCGTCTGCGCCGGAGCCTTGCCCGGAACAGAGAACAGGATGTGGAGGAGGAAAAGCATCGACTTCCCTCTGCGGAGCAGACCCGGCCTTCTCTGCCATCGGGAATGGCGGAAGCCTCTGCTCTGGGGGCCAGGACAGAACTTGAGGTGTCTGGGAAAGGCAGGGGCCAGCAGGGATCCCCGGCCTCCACCCTGGGCTGGAGCCGGGCTCCCCAGAGACCTCCTTCAGAGCATTCCCAGTGGCCTCTCCTGGCTCTACGGAACCACACCTAACTCCTGAGCTTTCTCCCGACCCTGACCCAGGGCGGGGAGGGCACCCTCAGCCCAGAGAGCTTCATTAAGCACAATAAATGTTGCACACCTGACTCCTTGCCAGCAACGTGCCCTCATCTGGGTCCCCGAGGCCCGAGGTCCTCAGCCCTGCTCCCGGCAATAGTGGCGGTTAGGCGGGGAGTAGGGACAGGGCGCACGGGCCCCTGTGCATCATCTTTGCACTTCTGAAGGAAGCCAGAGGAGACCCGATGGCCCAGCTGGCTTCCACTCCTGGTTCAGTCACCGTGGAAATAGCTCCATCGTAACAGGGCGTCTGAGCGCACGAGTCTCTCCACCCTGTGCTCTTGCACACATGCTCCCTGGCACTCTGTTTGCACACCCTGCTCACTCCTGTTTTGAGACAAATTGAGACATTACAGGGAAAAATCTAAATCCTGGCTGCTGGGAGGGGAGATTCTGGACTGGCAGTCCTGGCGCAGTTGTGGCCAGCCCTTGCAAGGCATCCATCCCAGAGCACATGGCCCAGCCTGCCGCGGTCCTCCCGTTCTCAGGTGGTGCTGTGAGGAAGCCAAGGTTCCCGCCATCCTGGCATTCCCTTGGGTCTCTAGGTCCCCTGAGCTGAGACTGGGCACACCCTGTTCCCACGGAAGCTGCGATGGCTCATCGGTGTTCTCTGTGCACCCGGGCCAGCCGCAGCGACGGCAGAGCAGCCGCCTTGCTGAGAGCCCATCCAAGCCCAGCCCAAGGTCCGCCAGAGCTCAGCAAGTCAAAAGTAGTTTCTGGAGACCAGCAGTTAGCGTAATGGCTATGTCGCTGGACTCCCACGTAGTCGACCGCGGTTCGCGTCCCGGACCCAGTGGCTTAAAACTCATACCGGTGCGTGTGCGTGCGTGCCCAAGATCCTGAGAGGAGAATGGAGGAGAAGGGATTGCAGTGTGGCCATCCCCCCGGGGGGTGATTTCTCACTTTCTGTCTCTCTCTGTCTTTCTGGCAAGCGCACGCGCCCTATAGCAAAAACCTCTCCAAAAAAAAAAAAAATAGTAGTAGTTTCTGGCCTTTGGAGAGCATGCAACTGAGGGTAGTGGGAGAGCACGGGTTCCGGGCCCGCTCTGCACTGACTTGCTCCTCTGGGGCCTCGGTTTCTCATCCTCTCGGTGGCTGGCACAGCAGGTGTTGTGGGGTCAGTAGATTCCAGTGTCTGGTGCGAAGTCCTACAAGCCGCACTTCCCAGCCACACCTTGCTCATTGCCTCATGGTGTGGATGGGAAGGGAAATGCCCAGAGAGGGAAGGGGCTTGCCTGGGCACACACAGCAAGACCCTGGGCGTTCCAGCCGCACAGTGCGTGGCCGAGGGTCTCGGGCTGCTCGCTGTAAGCCAGGCAGAGCCTGCAGTGATCTGGAAAGAACCTGAGGAAACCAGCATCCTCCCCAGCCGGGGTTGCCCGGGATCTTTGCCAAGCGAGGTTCAGCGTATAGAGGAAAACCAGACCGCGAGTGCCATTGCCGACCTGGCGGCCACAGAGGGCATCTCCATCTCGTTGCTGCCTCAGAAGGGTGGCAGGTGTGGGGGTGAGGCAGATGGCACTAGTCTGTGAGTTGTGTGGGGTACACGTGGGCTGGGGTGGGTATCCAGGGGCACCCTAAAGGGTTACAGTCACGAATCTTCCCAGCTGAGAAACCCAGACATTGGGCAGGGTGGGCATGCTCGGAGAGGTGTTTCCTGGAGGAGATGAGGCAGGAGAGGCAGGGGAGGAGTGGTCTCAGCCTAGTCCCTGTTCGTAGGTTGCCAGAAGCCCTGGAGCACGCGGTTCTTAGAGCCATCAGCCAGCCTGCCCACTGCCCTGGCTGCCATGCCCAGCCGTGGCCTCCCATGTCCCTGCTCCTACCTCCCAGGCAGTGGGGCCTGCCCTGGGCCTGTTGCAGCGGGTCCGTTCTGATCGGCTGGTGCTGAGGTCCTGCGTTAGGCTCCGTATTTTGGCCATCACACCTGTCAGGACTTCACAGCTTCCAGAAACCCACCATCCTCTGCAGAAACTCCACCTCCCACCGCCATCCTTCCCCGGCCCCCAGGAGGGCTTTCAGCCATGGGTGCTTCACAGCATCACAAGGGACTTTCAGTCCCAGAGGTCTGGCTGCAGTTGTGTCCGCGACTAGGACTGCGCTCGCCCTAGTGGTGGGGACTTGAGGCTGTGAGGCCCAAGGCTGGCTCTGCGCTCACTGCCAGCCAACCTGTTTCAGCTACCGGCGAGGGCGAGGGCGAGGGCGAGGGCGAGGGCGAGGGTGAGGGCGAGGGCGGTGTGCCACTCTTACTGCGGCTGCTTCCGTCTGTGTAGACACCAAAGCTTCTTAGACAGGAGTGTTTCCCAACTTCTACTCGGGGATCACGGTGCCTTGGGCTTAATAAAGGTTTCTGTTTCCAAATAAAGCCTCCCACTTCTGGATTAAGATCCACAGGTGTCTCCCAGGAAGGCCGAGCCAGGGCAGGTGTGGGCAGGGAGAGGGACCCAGGCCTCAGCCAGGAGTGGGTGGGTAGGTGAGTCTACGTGTCTGTTCCCACAGGCAGCACTGTGTGTAAATAAGCTGGGTGTGGCAGGAGTCACCAGATAACCATGAGAGGTGACTTAGCTGGTGGCCGGGCAGTGTCTGAGGACGTATGGGATACCATGCACTAGGGACTCACAGCAGCCTCACAGCCCATGCAGCAGGCCACAGTTTTTTGGATGAGGGAATTATTGACCCAGAGAGGTTAAGTAACCAACCCAAGATCACACAGCACATAGGTGGCAGGGCTCTTAACCCCTGCTGTGCAGTTTGGAGGGGGCTAAGGCTCATCACAGTGGATCCAGAGGCCTTCTAGAGTAAGGAGGAGGTCATCTGTCTCCTCCTGGCTCCTCACTACTCTGTAAGGCCAGAGCGGGCCGAGGCCCAGGGAATCACTCAGAACGACTGTGTAGTGCTGGCCTGTGGCTCGACGCCTTGGGCATGCGCCACCAGAAGCCCACCGGCTTCCCAGTGACTGAGCTGTCCCTCCAGTGGGCTCCCCACTCCAGGGGGGTCCTGCAGTAAAGCAAGGCAGGGTTTTAGGGGCCCCGAGCAGCCACTAATCCTGGAGCCTGTGCTAAGGAGGACTCAGAGGAGAGCGCGAGTGCTGGCCGTGCATGCCCGGAGGGCAGGCGGGTAGACGCACTGCTGCGGCCTGGATCTGATCCCATTTACAGACGAGGAGACCAAGCGCAGAGGGGGAGTAGCTCATCCAGCATCACTCATGGCTAAGGCCCGTCGCCAGCCTCGCTCATTTTTATTTTTGTTAGAGAGAGATTTTCGCCATCGGTCACATGTGTTTGCCAGGGAGACAGACAGAAAGGGAGAAATCACCCCCCGGGAGAGTGGCCACGCCACAGTCCCTTCTTCTCCATTCTCCTCTCAGGATTTTGGGCACATAAACACATGCTCCCGGCGTAAGTTTCAAGCCTCCGAGTCTGGGACTTGAACTGGGGTCGACTACGGGGAAGTCCAGCATCGTAACCACTATGCCATCGGCCGCCCTCCCCCCAGCCTTAATTGTGAGAACTGGGTTTTGTCCAGGGAACAGTTCAGCACCCTGCCAGGCCCCGACCCAGCAGCAGAGCAGACCTGGGCCTATGTGTAGGCAGAGCTGCTCCAGTCGCTCTGCTGGTTGGGCGTTCTCCAGACTAGATGCAGGATCCCTGCCACCCCTGTCCCCTCTGTGCATGGTGACGGGCAGAGGCCTCATCATTCCACTGATGCGGCACCTGGGGAGAGGGTGAATAGCGGTGCCCTGAGCATCTGCCTTCGCTGGGAAATGTTGCTTTGGGGTTTTTGTTTGCTTTTGGCCCATGGATGGAACCAATGCCAGTGCTTAAAAGACAAGCACTCCAGCCAAGCCACCTGTTTCGTCCACAGGCTCAGCTCCTGTTTGACCTGCCTTTCCCTCTGGCCATCTCAGTGTGGCCTCCGCTCCAACAGAGACACCTGTTCTTATCCCATCACCCTGCGGGTGTTGGAGGCAGCCCGAGGGGAAGAGAACAAGTGAGATTGTCCAGGCGCAGGCTACACAGCAGGGCTGCCTGCCCTGTCTCCAGTCTCCCGTCCCTGGAGCACTGTGGGCCATGTGGGGCCCAGGCCTCACCCAGCCTCTGCCCTCAGACACGTGCAGCCCAGTGTCCTTTCCTGGGGCTCTCCCTCTGCCCCGTGCCTTAGCTGTTGGCCCCATGGCCCAGTCCCAGACCTCGCAGGGGCTTTGGGCCACACCTGACCTCCCCTGACTTTGGCCGCCTCCACAAGCATCCCTCAGCCTGGGCACAGTCACTGCTTCCTTGGGCTGGGGGACCACTCAACTGCATGACACCGGAGATGTGGAAACTGCAAAAGAAACATCTTTATTCTTTTAACCGTCTTAATATTTACAGAGAACAGAAAGAACAACTGAGATTGGCTCGCACAGTGGGCGGCGGGTGAGCAGACTGGCTCTGGGGTGGTTGGCAGGCAGGTCTGCCCCGACATGGCCATCTGGTGGGCCCTGGCCTGGCCCAGCCTGTCGCTCTCACTCTCGTCAGTGCCCGAGACGCCCCTGCCCGGTCTTGCCCTCCCCCAACACACACAAAGGGAAGGGGTGTTTGCAATGCCCAAGAGGCCACACCGCTGCCCAGCCCCCTCCGCACTAGGAGAGCTCCCACAGCCAGCGGTGCAGGCCCAGGGCTCCCAGCCCAGCTAGAGGTAGCCGAAGACGTTGAAGATGGGCGGGGGCACGGCGGGTTTGGTGGGGCTGGGCTTCAGCACCACCGGCCTGTGCACTTTCTGCCCCAAGCTATCCACATCCTTGCAGAAGGGGGCCGGCTCCCCAGGCTCCCCAGGTGAGGTGGGGTTCTTCCTCCAGAGGCCCAGGCTGGGGACTGGACTCTGCGGCAGGGCCCCCGGAGGGCCCGGGTAGAGGGGCTGTCCGTGGCACTGGAAGGGGCAGCAGCTCCAGGCATTGACGCGGCCCACCAGGGAGACCCCTGGCATCTTGAGTGGCTCCTTTTCAGCCAGTGCCCTTGGGGACACTGGCATCGGGGCTGTCTCGGGCCCCAAGGGCTCCAAGCCCTTGCAATTTTTCTTACCCTCATAGGGCGGTCCCTCCCTGGGGCCCAGTCCCCCCTCCAGCCCCATGGGGTAGCTGTGGGTGGGCCGCGGCTCTTCCCAGAAGGAAGCGGGCAGTTGTCTTTTCCTCATGGGCACCTGGCCAGGCCTGGCGGCTTCCGGATTCTGCCCCCGGAGGGTCTGCTCCTTAGAAAGACACTCCTCCCCGTAGGGACTCCCCAGAGCCTTCTCCTTGCAGCCCCCACCCCCACCGGGGCTGGAATCAGGGCCGGAGTCGAGGGGCAGCCTCCCGGGCCGGGCCTCAGGCCCC